GTCGGCGTCGATGCGCCACTTCGATAAAGCGGCACGACACGAGAACCCTCTCATCGTGGCCGCTGGTAACTACATTCCCGATCCTGCGGACAGAATGGAAAGCAGTCGACGTCGCCCCAAACACGTCATTTCGGATCCTCCCGATCCAGTAACGGTGCTTTCAGGTACCTCAAGCACCGGTCATCGTTCTCGTCGAACTCGTCGCTTGCGACGAAGGGCTCGACGAGTAAATTAACCCTCAGACACAGCCCACTGAGTTTCTCGCCGGATCTTCTTAGTGGGTCGCGTTTCCGATCCGGTGGTAGATTCTGCGAAGCACCGCTCTTGCTAGGGTTCGTGTAAGCAACGTCGCCAGGTTTGTGCCCCGTGAGCTCACCTACTAATTAAGGTTACGCTGAAATAGCCTCTCAAGGCTATCAGATTAGGTAGGAAAAAAAAAAGGCGGCGATGATGGACGATCATTTGTTGGCCCATCATGGCCGATTGTGAAGAGGAGCCGTTAGCAACTTCTCTCAAGTTGAGTCCGTGAGCTCACCTACCCGTCTGGGCGTAGCTGGAATACCCTAAAGCTACCAGCGTAAAAAAATAAAGCAGCCGCAGGTCCCAGAGTCAATCATTAAATAAAACACGTTGTGTAATCTATTTCATTGATTTAATAGACTTGTAGGATTACATTTACATAATATATTTCTTGTTCTCATCATAAAACTATATATATATTATTTGCATGAGTGAACTAATCGTGAATACAATGAAAATGTCCACGCCAGTACAGCCGAGGACAAATTAACAGTACGCAAAATCAATATTATAATTAAATGCAGTTTTAGAATGATAGCGGTCTCGCCCCCGACTGTACCGGACCGGACTGCAATCCCAACACTTCTAAAAATCATTTTTTTTTGTTTTTTTTTTAAATTTAATTGTCAACTACACATCATAACACAAACTATATAAGATTTTATTATATAACTCAACTACTTTTACATCTCAAGGTACAAAAGTATATAGTACTTTTTCGAAACAACCAAGATGTTATTTTGCTTTCAATTATGAGTTTTGTCAAGAGGTGTACCTCAGAATGTAAAAGTTAAATACGAAACAATAACATAGTTTAACGTAAGTACACGTGTATTATATAGACACTAAATTTTTAAACAATCTGTCGCAATGGCAAGACGGCTCGGCGGGGGTGACGCCGCGAGGCAAACCTTCCTTACATCTGTCGAAGCAGTCCTATAGAACTCTTCGATACAGTAATGGAGGCTAATGTACTCTGAGGATAAATAGTGACACTACTATCGGTCATACTCAATTTCGCGAGTACACAGAGATTAACATTTTATCAAAAGTTAGGCGAATTATTATTGTGACAAAGTCAACGTTTGAATATTTTCTAGATACTAGGTACTTTAAAAACCAACGCAATAACTAAGTATATAAATTGCCTAACAAAATCGTACTGTTAATTATGCATTTGACGAGCAGCGTGGTGGAGGAGCGTGTGCCCCGCGCGCGCCCCCCCTACTCGAGCCCACGCAGACAACAGGGAAGGCTTTAAGCCACTTTGTACATTCATAAATCCATTTCTTTGGCTATAAAACACCTCTGGGAAGCGTAAAAATATATTTATCTAATATATAAGCACTTTATTAAACAATAATAAAAATCCTGTTAATGATCTACATTCTTCAAATTCGCTCTTAAATCAATTATAGTACATTTCTAATGTGCAAATTGTAATAATAATAATAATAATAATTCATTAGTAACAAAACGTTTTAATGTCAAATGTTAGAAAATAATTTCAAAATCAATGTGTAAAAAGCATGATCCGAAATAAAGAGCTTGACTGGTAGACCGCGCACCGAGATCCGCGTCCGACTCGGCAGGCGCGTACACTGGGAGCTTCGCAGCATCAGAATGTTATTGCACCCAATCATTTTATAAATAAACATACATCGTTACTGTAAGTTGTGTTAAGATCACTATGACACGTTACTTGTTTGTGACAGTACTACACTAACTGCAATTAACTGTAGTGATGATGCACCGTATAACGCGGCAGACGGGCGCGTCACGTCACGCGTCACGCGTCACGTAGACACCAGTGTGCTTAGTGCGAGTGTTTAACGTTCTCGACAGTGTAAAAGTTAACTCAAATTTGTATGGAGTTGGAACAACGCCCCTAGCGGCAAACGTTTACACTGTCGAAAACGTTAAAAACTCGCACTAAGCACACACGTGCTGGTTTGGACGAATGTAATTCGTTACTCTTCATTACCCAGTAACTATTTATTCTATTGCACCTTTCGTAGCAAGCATTTTATGCGCATTTCTCAGAAAACATCTCCCAGCACACTACTATGTTTTCGACAGTTAAATTACACAAATCAAACAAAAATAATTATTTATTTAAATATGTATATATATATGTATATTGCACGGATTTGGTACTTTGGCACGATTACGTTTTGGTAACTTCTCTTTCAATAATAAGAAATAAACTAAATAAAGAATATAAAACAGTATTGAACTGGCTCCTCAACGAGCCGCAGTCCCTTTGGATTGTTCAAATTATTCGCATATGTGACAGAAGCGTACCAACCAGTTAATAGCAAAACATGGGATTTTTCCAGATTCTGTTCGTATGAAAACAATGTCCGCATATTTGTAAATGATTTTTCAATACTTTTCTTTGAATAGTTCACAAGTAATGTACTAGTTTATATTCTAATACATATAATGGTTTCTTTACACGGAGTTTTTGACAAGATTGAAAATAAATACGAGTAAATCGGTCCAGGAAATATAAATTATGATCCGAATTAAAGAAAATAATGCGTCGGTTGCCACGACAAGCTAATTCGTCGTTAGTGCAAGCACACATCACTACAAGAGAAGTCGCTGAAGCCAATTTGTACAAATCACTAACAAGATCCGCGGTGACGGTATCGACAAAAAGGACACGCTGTAGGTTTAGATGCATAAACGAACGGGCTCACAGCACGTCCGATGTTGAGTGGTTCCTGGAGCCTATAGAAACCACAACTCGGATGCCGTCGCCCGTTCAGTTATTTTCAAGAGTACTGATTTGGTAATTGATTAATTATGGCATTTTCGATTAAAATGCAGGAAGAAAACCGGGGTCCTTTACGACATTGGCAGCAGCCGCCGGCCGCAGTGGCAAAACGGTGCTCACCGCTGTGTCTCAAGCGTCCACTACTATAATCGATCAACATGTACCTTTTTGTCAATGATGATATTTCAACTATATTTTAAAAATAAAATTGATTATAAAAAAATATAAGTAATATGATGCATAGTCATTATTCAATATTGTAACATACAATATAATTATACACTAGTGTGAAGTGAGTACTAAATATATTTATCTGTATGGCGTTTTAGCTTAACTACAACTCGGCCGTTGCGAGTGCCGAGGAAACTGTTCTCTGCGGCGGCGCGAGCACGACTGTAGGCCGAGCGCGCCCGAGCGCACCCGAGTGTGGCCGAGCACAGCCGAGCGGACCCGAGTGTGGCCGAGTACAGCCGAGTACACCCGAGTACAGCCAAGTACAGCCGAGTACAGCCGAGCACGGGAGAGCGCTTGTGATCGCGGGCATTCACGGATCACCAGCGCTCGAGATGTTTACCTCGGCACACGCACACACGCACCGCTCTCACACACGCGCGCGCACATGCACACATCCGATAAAAACACACAAACAGTGAACAACACTCAACATATTAATATATTATATTTTTTATAATCGAGTAAATAACACGACAGTGACGTCACAGCTATAACTATAAAACTATATTATATAATATATATATATTATTATATAAATGATGTATATAATAACGCATAAAGAAAACAGTGAATTCAATGAACAACGAAACGAGCTCATNACACATCAGATAAAAACACACAAACAGTGAACAACACTCAACATATTAATATATTATATTTTTTATAATCGAGTAAATAACACGACAGTGACGTCACAGCTATAACTATAAAACTATATTATATAATATATATATATTATTATATAAATGATGTATATAATAACGCATAAAGAAAACAGTGAATTCAATGAACAACGAAACGAGCTCATCGGCGGCGGAGTCCGGAGGGGCGCGGGGGCGGCGCCCCGGGGTTCGCCCCCGCGCCCCTCCGTGCGCGCGTCGTTTTCCTCGTCTTGTATTTTCGTTATTGTGTGAAGATTTCATGTTTATAAACAAACTGGGCGTATAGACACATAAACCTTTGATCTTTCACGAGGAAATTATAAAATGTCCTGATTGGTAACTATTCATTAAAAAAAATAGATTTAAATAAAAGTTAAAACACGACAACGGGAACACGTAAAGAGAATTACCATTTTTTTAGTTTTTTTCTTCAAATTTTATTTAAATGTATGTGTATATTTTATTTTAATGTTACACTAAATACTACGTAAAGCATCAAAATTTGTGCATCAACCGCGACAATCGCACGAGGCCGGCGGGCGGCCGCTACAGAACAAATCAAAAACAAAAACTAAGAGATAAACTACAACATCTAAAATATATTTCGACTATAAAATTTATGTTTATTTTAAAATTAACACCTTTGGTTTTGTTAAAATCTTAAACTAAAAAGTAATACTTATGAATACGTCGCGACTCGACAGAAGCGGTGCCGCGGTGCCGCCCACAGAATGCGATCCATTTCCAAATAACAACAAAACACATCAGACGGTCAGACTGTCGATGATCCATCACGTGAACGCACGTTACAGAAGCGCAATGAGTATTAGAACAGACAACAGTTTACAACAAAACCTAACACAACGCACGACTAGAAGCGACAAATGTATCAATAACTAGGAACGAACCCGCCGCGGACCCTGGTCCCCCCCTCGCGCCCCCCGCCGCCGGTAAAACCACCCATTAATCGTTAATAAAAAGTAGGTTTTCAATGAGTGCAGGGGGCGAGGGGGCGAGGGGGCGAGGGGTGGCGGGGGTTATGCAGTATCCTCAAGGGTGTGAAGTTAATTTAGTTTCGTCGTACCAGTGCCCGCGGGAGTAACTATGTATCCTATGTATAAATTAAGTAACATAAAAAGCACCAATCGCAGGTGAATTTAGTAAGCCAAGTTATAAGCACACGACATGATCGATCGGTCCGGAATATTTACAGCAATCAATAGTTGGCCAAACATATTTCATCATAGTTCAAAGTCCACTCGTGGTCACATTAAAATTTATCAATTAGCCTGACACTTGGCCGCACGGGCGGTCTCTCAGGCGGGAGAGAGCGCCAGTGAAATAATTCCAGACGCAAGTTAGAGAGTGTGCTCGTCGTCAGCACGTGCTGCGGACCACACGCCTCGCTACTCCTACAGTGTGGCTAGTGTATATACTTTCTCTCTCATGGACAGATATTTATCATAAGACTTCAACAGTGTCCTTTCCTTTCACAAAAATAAATCTATCGTTTGGCGACGCACCGTGTCCAGCTCGCACGGTGACGCGTCTAAAATAACAAATACATCATTTGTATTAACATGCAGTAGGGTGAGGATAATATTAATAGTTAAGGACAATGTAAACGAAGTTGCAGTAATATTTGAGGTTCGAGAGAGGGGAGGGGGGCGGTGCCCGCGGACCGCAGCACGAAGCGGGCGCGAGGCCGGCACCGCCCGCGCCTTTCCATTTCATTATATTATGAGATTTCACTTCGAGTCGTCCTTTTAACGACGGCCGACAGGTTAAATTTATATTTAAAATGATTACCCATATTAACATTTGGTAAAACTAAACGAGATTTAGATCAGATCGATGATGCGAGTGTGTGCGGGGGGAGGGGGGCCTCATTAATTCGATTCATATAAAAACAAGGTAATACTTTGCACGTTAATATGACTAGAGAGATGGCATGCACTGGGCGCGTGGCGACAGGACAGGAGGAGGGGAGGGGGAGGGAGAGGGAAGGGGAGACGTGTGGAGGGGTTCAGGCGGCGGGCAGGGGGTTGAAATCCTTGTTCACGAACGAGAATCCTCGGAACTCCTCCTGCGTGAACAAATAAATACATTTCAGAATGTAATTATTACACTAATTTTGAAAATAGGCATACATTTCAGGAACCAAATAGTATAAAGAAGACATCATCATTTATGAACATTGACAATGCCAAGGGGAAAACTCAAGCACTATTCAGTTGCAAGGTTGATTACTAGCATCACAGTACGGACAACCTGTGCCTAAGGTACAGTTCACAAGAAACTGTATTTGGACCTTATTGAAATATTTGCCACTTCATATACTCAGCCATGAGGGAATTTTGTCCCTGTACCCCTCAATGTTTTTTTCATTTATGATCAAATCACTCGATTCGAGTGCTCCTCTACTGATAACTCCAGACCTCCTCTTAAAATGTGTCTCGTTTCTCTCAAGATCTAAGTATTGTCAGTTTCAACTTTGTACTGCAGTCAGTACCCATACCTACCGTTTGCCGCTACTTGTGGTCTGTAGAGATTAGCCGCTTTGGGAGTTCCTTTAAGTACTTTTATTTATTTATTTTTATATTTTTTATATTTTTCACAAAGATATTTTTAAAACTTTCAATTTAATATTATTTTAAAGTAATTCATTGCAAAGCCCTGTAACTATAAAATATCGATACTGTAGTTATAATAAAGGAAATAAAGGGGTAATTTAAAGATACATTATTGATAATACTTAAACTAGTTCGTTAAGAGCGACAAGACAAAGAAAAAAAATCAATAAAAAAACGGTGCGCGTGCAGCTCGGCGCACGTGAAAGAAGTGAAACTTCTTTTGCGGAGTGTAGTGTTGAGGTTTTTTTTCATTTTTCATCTTTAAATAAAATTTCTCTTGTAATAGGGAACGCTGTGTATAAAAGAAACGACCTAGCTCACTTTTTCCGTTCTCTCTCTCCATGGTCCAGTGGCTCGCGGGATGCTGTCTATTTTTTGACTCTCACTCTTCCTAAATTGTTTATTTTTTCTCTAGCCGTAACGAATTTGTTACGAGTTAAATTTTACTCTCAACGCTCCTAAAGAAGTTTAACTTCAAAAGGTAAAAGTGGACAATAAACTAAGCATACAATTGCAACTTGGGTATATAAAGCGCAATTTGCAAGGTCCAGAGTTGTTAGAAGGTGCGAGTACCTGGTTGATGGTCCGCAGCACGTCCGGCGCGACGGGCGTGAGCACGGGCTCCTCCTTGGTGAACTCCGCGTCGAAGTTGACGGCCTCGCGCTTGCTCTTCTGTAACCGAAAGCACAGCTGGCACAGCGCTCCCTCGGCAACGGACCCTTCCCCCGCAACCCTACGCACCTTGGGGCGGAAGGGCGGCCGCAGCTTCCTCTGGGCGAGCGCGTCCCAGTCCACGTCGCGGAAGAACGCGTGCGCCTTGATGCCCGCCGCGCCGCCGCACACGCCCAGCCGCCGGCTCGGCGCCTTCGTCATGAACCCTGCGCACGACGGTGTGGTCAGTGGGCCGCCGGACACTACGCCGGGCGGGCGGGTGCCGATGTGTCACCTTTGAGTATGGAGACGGCGTCGCGCGAGAGCCACACGGGGTAGAGCACGTCGTCGTGCAGGATGGACTCGAACAGGTCGTCCTCGTTGTCGGCCTCGAAGGGCGGCTGTCCCGCCAGCATCTCGTACAGCAGCACGCCCAGCGCCCACCAGTCCACGCTGCAGCCGTACTCCTGCTCCTGCAGGATCTCTGGCGCGATGTAGTCCGGGGTCCCGCAGAACGTGGTGGTGGTCACGCCGTCTACAACAAACAATTTAAACATTATTTTACTCTTTTAAATCAATAAAAAACCCTACCGGAGCCTAAGTAAAATATAAAACATCCTAACATCGGTTAGGGAGTGGTTAAACGGTAATTAATTGAAAAACTAACGTTAAGTGGGGATCATGTAATAAGTGAACGAGTAAGGACAGAATATTGTGTAGTGAGTAGCGAGTGAACTTGTCGTGAGTGAAAGTGTATTGAGTAGTAAGTGAGCTTGTAATGAGTGAACGTGTAGTGAGTGAGCGTGTAATGAGTGAGCGTGTAGTGAGTGTAGGTGTAGTGGGTGTAGTGTGTGAGCGTGTAGTGAGTGTAGGTGTAGTGGGTGTAGTGAGTGAGTGTGTAATGAGTAGTGAGTGAGCTTGCAATGAGTGAATGTGTAGTGAGTGAGCGTGTAGTGAGTAGCGAGTGAGCTTATAATGAGTGAACGTGTAGTGAGTAATGATTGCGTGTGTAGTGAGTAGTGAGTGAACGTGTAGTGAGTGAGTAGTGAGTGAACGTGTAGTGAGTGAGCTGTGGTGAGCGAGTGGTGGAGACCTACCGATGATGCCCTCCTTGCACATGCCGAAGTCGGCGAGCTTGCAGTGTCCCTCGGAGTCGAGCAGGATGTTGTCGAGCTTGAGGTCGCGGTAGATGACGCCGTGCTCGTGCAGGAACTCCAGCGCCAAGGTGACTTCCGCCGCGTAGAACCTGCGCGGGCGTACAGCGCGCTAGTGCAGCCGCACGCCGGGACGTGCCGCCGCACTAGGACTAGGACCGACCACTAGTAATCATTCAAAATTAAAATTGGCGATGACAAGAAATGAATTGCGACTGACCTGGCGCGAGGCTCGTCGAACTTGCGCGCTCGCTGGATCTGAAACATCAAGTCCCCCCCGTCCACGTACTCCATGACAAAGAACAGACGGTCCCTGGTCTGGAAGGCACAGTGCAGCGCCGTGAGGAAGGGATGCGCGGCCGCCAGGGCCAGCACGCGTCTCTCGGCGAGCGTGCACTCCGCGTCGTCGTCCTGCAGGATGGCGTCCTTCTTCAGGACCTTCACGGCGAACACCTCCTCCGTGCCGCGCCTTTCGGCCAACATCACTTTCCCGAAAGATCCTTTCCCGAGGACCTTGATGAACGTGAAGTCCTCGAGACATGGCTTCTTTAACCCTCCGCATTCTGTGTCCCCTGTTCGATGGTAACATTCCAATACATGTTATATATTATCTAAATCAGATTGCTCTAAAGGTCTAGCCTCTATCGAGCCTAAAACTGAATGTACGTTTGTGCGTCTGCGCTTTCGATCCGTTCATGTCATTTTGAAGTGAAACTTCTTTAGACGCGTTGAGCGTAAAATTTAACTCGCGACAAGCTCGTTACCACTACACAGAAAAAGTACAATTTAGCCAGAGAAATTTATGGATGAGAAATGAAGAAAACCACAATACTATACCGCAAAAGAAGTTTCGCTTCTTTCACGTGAAGAAATCATTTTTTCAGGAAATAAAGATGTCTATTTTTTTATAGGAGAAATGAGTACATGTAGTTTATAAAAATCAGGCATTGAACGAAATGCAGTGTACATATGTATGCAGTGTACGTGTGTATTCAGTGTAGGTATGGACGCGCAGGGCGATGCTATAGAGGACTACCACTATTGCAACACTTCACGTGCACTACAATCGACAGCTATGTGTCCCATGATTCGAAGCCAAAAAATTTACTAAAATGAAAACTTATATGAAAAAATAAAAAGTAACGAGACCTTCTGCAGTAACAAACAGCTGCATGTCGTGCCAGGGGGGGCGCCACGTGCCCTCCTTGTCGCGCACATCTACTGGTGGGGATCAACGCAAAACAATCGTTCAAAAAGCAAACCAAAACAAATGAATACGGAGCATAACAACGGAGTGACGCGACTCTGTCAGCTTCGCCGCGCGTTGCTGCAGTCCGGGGGCTCCAGCTGCGCTGACAGGGTCGCGTCACTCCCCGGTCTACGGTCGGCAAAACAACAAGATATTGAAACAAAATATTATTCAAGCACTCATATTCTTTGAGAATTTAAATTCAAGCAAATAAAAATGGTTTATGAACAATGTAAGATTCGTTCTATATACAGGGCGTTGTTTTTGTGTGGACGATAACAAAAAATAGCGATCTCAGGAGCCAAATGTTCGCCACAACAATTAAAAGTCAATTTGTAATCAGTTTTAATACAAAAAAACATCTCAGTGAAAAGCTATCATATTGCTATCATAACAAACTACAATTTCTTATCTCATTGAGAACGTCCGATGAATGATTTTCGCTATTTCCTGCTCGCTACCTGACCTACCGAGTGCCGGGCTGCGTGTGGCAACAACACTACACAATGTCACACAAACATAACATAAACATTTACAGTAAAATATGGTTCCGGTACGCAAACCTTTATCGTCTTGTTTGTCCCCTGCGTCCTTCGACTCGGAGTCCCCGGACGACGACAGCTCCGAGGATCCTTCGAGCAGGGCGGGGTTGAGATACTGCGGATGAGAGAGGCGGGTTACACAGTGGGTCGGCGGCGACGGGACCTGAGGGGACGATGTTACCTTAAAGGTCTTCGGTCTGGGGTTCTTGTCGGGCGATATCCCCATCTCGTTGAGCAGAGCCGCCATGGCCTTGGTGTTGGTCCCGCAGTTGTTGGCCACGTTCTTCTGGCACCGCTTGTGGACGTTCATTGAACACGCTGCAAAACGTCGCAGTCCGGGAATGGATCGAACATGATTTGGTACTTTCTTTTGCGGACGTCACTAGTGGGTAATACCTTAAATTACCTTAAAATACCTTAAAACGGCCGTCTGGTGTAGTGGTAAGTGACACGGTCACTACACAAGGGGGTCGCGGGTTCAAGTCCCGCCAAGAGGAGATATTTGTATGATAAATATAAAATGTATTTTCCAGGGTTATGGACGTATATTAAATATATGTATGTGTATAATAAAAATGTTACATTTATTTCCGTTATCTGGTACCGGTAACACGCACGGGCCCAGTGCAGGTGGCGCGATCGTTAGTAATACCTTCGCACTGCAGTCCCTGCTTGATGAGTCCGTAGAGCAGCGAGCCGCAGTGGTCGCAGAAGGTGAACCGCTTGTAGGAGTGCACCACGAAGCGATGCGGCACGTTCACGCTGAAGCCCTGCCCCACCGCGCCCGCGCCCGCCTGTGCCGCACACCACACCACAACTCGACACTCGCAACAACATGTTACCTCAACCTATATCTACTAGTGTTCCTGCAAGGCCATGTCCTTCTTCAAACTAAGTTAGGGACCAAATGTTAAGGCTTCGTCAAACAGAACACGTACTGAGCGCTGCGTTTTAACGTCGCACTCTTTTCATGTCACACAAATTGACTAGATGAGCCTAAGGCTCCTTGACGCAACGTAACATCCGCCAAATCATAGTGCCTTTCGATAGCAGTGTGAAAATTAAAAAGTATTAAGATGTCGAGTGATTCAGATGTGGCATAGTATAAGAATGGGTCTTTTTTAACTATCATATATTTTATCAATTTTTCGGGCATTATCCAGTATTTTAATACACATTCACTCTGACGCGATAGCGCTGACTCTCTGTGTGACAGTATATTAACCCTAGTAGTACAACACATCTCGGCGTCATAGCGCGCAGTTTAGCGTTCTGACGCGCGCTAAGTACGCGTTCTGTTTGACGAAGCCTTTATATGTAGGCGGCTGCGAGGGAGCCGCGGGGCCGGGCTCGCGTTGATCTGTTAACGAACATGATCGCGTTACCTCCTCTTTCATGCCGGGACACTTCGTGACGATGAGGGAATGACATCGCTTATGCAGCACGCAGGTGCAAACTGTGAACAACGTGACGACATATCAAATTATTAACTCAATCCATTTATTTACTTTCCAAGTACGATTCTACAAAATGTATAAATATTGTTACAGTGGAAATTGTCTTTAGAGTGAAAATCTCTGATTGCAACGAGTGATGACGAGAGAACCTCAGTCGAGACCGGTACATCATTCCTGTGATACAACGGCTAGTGTTGTTTATTATGTTGCCTTTTATCTTAATTAGTTAATTACTTCCGATTGCGATTACGATTACTTACATTTTTTTAATGCTTAAACGTGTGGATAAGATCAAGCCCACCTGATGTTAAGTGGTTACCGAAGACCATAGACATCAACAACGCTTGTTGTATGTTATTAAGCATTTGTGTCATATAATTGTTTAAATGTACAAAACTGAACGAAAAGTCTGCTCAATCGGTTTCGCAACTTTTTATAATGAAAAGATAGTGACTGAAAACTCGACATCTGTTTATTTTCAAGCCTACCTATAGCAGAAAATTTATTTAAAAATCTTACCTTGACACTGATATCCTTGCTTGCCGATGCCCCTAATAAAGAAAGTTCAACATTAAAACCTCAACTCAAATGTAATTTATCGTCACATATGACTGCATGTTGTAAAAGAAATGTTAGAAGGTAATATTCCGTATCCGCGCAGAGAGGTCGGAGCAGCGAGAACAAGGCACCACGCGTGGTACCGGCTCGCTGCCAGCCAACATCAGATGGTCTGTGAGTTTGTTCATCCCAGTTACATTTTTTTAAGCGTGTTATAAAGATAGCCGTTGTATCTGTACTTGGCTGATTTTTCAATAAGCTCTTTCACCAGTAAAGATATACGCAATGACGACTTCCGGGCCTGGCATCAGAAGTGCCTCGTCTGGGAACAAGGGTTAGCGGATATGAACACGTGTATTCTACGTACCATATGAACTCGCGACAGAGGCTGCAGAACGTGGGTTGTCGAAGGAAGGTGGCCATGAACTTGTGTCCGTTGACCTGGTGCACGCGGCGACGCATGGCCCCGCGACGCCGGGCGAACCCCGCCCCCTCCTTGAACTCCCGGGGAGCGCCGCGCCCCCCGCGCACTCCGCGCGTCCCCCCGCCGCCCCCGCCGCCGCCCTCGCCAGAACCTGACCCGTACGCACACGTCACTTATTCTATTTCAAAATCGTTTTCTCCTTAAATGTCATTACAAAATGCTTTTACTATTTCATGAGACACAATAAGTATTTTAGTAGATTCAATGAATATTTTAAACCTAAATTGTTTATGCAGTATCTTTATATTAACTAAATTGGGTAAATTATCTCACAATCCACCAGATTTGAAGAGAGTATCGCAGACCAAAGGCACCACAACGTAAATAACTCTGCCTACCTTGAAATATGAGTTGAAGTCGCATCTTTCAAAATGGGACAAAGCTGACTTTGAGTCATATTATTTTTTATTACCCTTGTACGCAGGCAGACGATCTTACGGCCCACCCCGATATTAAGCAGTTACCGCGGCCGCTGCCTATTGCTATTAATCTACCTATGATACCTTTCCAAGCGAGTCACAATGTACAGCAACACCACAAAGAAAAATAATACTGAAGAACTTTCAATATAAAATTGTCACACAAGACATTATGGACAGAAATGCCAGGATAATGTCAGACTTAAATTGCTGTAAAAGTATCATGTTTGAGATAAAACAAACACACACACACAAACACCCACATCTAGTTACAATTACACATAACAAAAGTACATCAATAAGTTTAGTCAGTTTCCAACTTCACTTCATCATTTTACAGTACATCCATTTCAGTTTATACTAAAATATTAAATATAATTTGTCATGTATTTTTTTTAGGTTGATGCTAAGGACAAGTAAATAACGATTACCTATATTAAGTTTTTTTTTTTTTATTGCCTTTGTAGGCAGACGAGCATACGGCCCACCTGATGGTAAGTGGTCACCGTCGCTCATGGACGTCAGCAATGCCAGGGGCAGAGCCAAGCCGCTGCCTACAAGCCTAAGTACAACAACTGACCTTGAGAATGCCATTTCAGATCTATTTTCAGATGCAGTTTCCCCTGCGGCTCTAGGTCCACCTGCAACAAAAACATGTATTAACTTTTAATCTTATATATTATTCAGTCTTTTAGATAAACATATATTTATAATTAAAACAATTAGAAATAATACCTTATCATAAGAATTCTCAAACACATGACTGACGCTTCCCAAACCAAAGATAGGAATTTCTTTCAATATAACTATGATTTAAATTATTATGACCTTATTTAAATAATTTTAAAAACCAACTTTTCGTGTGAAATTTATTTTTATTTATTACTATGTTAACTAATTTAGAAGAACAATTATTGTTGGTACAAGCTTACCGCCCAAATGATTTAGCCTAAATGAGTTTAAAGGCGCGCTAACTTACAAACAGAATGACGAATTATTAATGAATTTATGTGTTACGAGATATGATACGGCCTTTCTTTTGCCGAAACTAGAACGAAACCTGACGTAAACGGAAACAATATCCATGAAGTAATCCAGGCACCGCGCCGATACTTGTCATATTTGTGTTGTAGTGTGGGGCTGTTTCTTTTTTGTTGTTGGCTGTTTGTTTTGATTTACTTTACTTTTTAAGTTTATAACAATTTGCATTATCATTTTTACCTATAAATGAGGTAATATTTATCACGTAACTTATTTTGATCAATTTATAACTTCTCTAAATATGCCGTCTTCGTTGGTACAACTCTTTGAACAAATATTTTATGAACCAGTAATGTAAAGAAAAGCAACCCATGCGTCAAACGACCGGGTTTTTTTTATTAAATCACCAGACCTAGGACCTGTGTTCGTTTTCGGGAATAATTACAAACAGCTCAACACGTAGTATATGTATTTGCACACAAACGCACCTCTTCAACCAATTGCACATATTTAGGTTCTGGACTAGACAATCTTCTTTTGAAATTATTAATCATTTTTTTTATTTTTGTCTTACTTGTTAAACTCCACGGAAACTAATGATATTACAGCAGAAACAAGCTAAATTATCTATCAAAACAAACATTATGCCAATTGTTGATAACAATCTGAGACATGACAGAACTCAGAAGTATTTTTGGGGGGTTAGTAATTGTTAAAATTACTAAATTTTTAACTGTCTATACTAATTTAAATTGACACATGGCTTGTTTGTAAAAATATAACACTGTAAACCGATCTTTAAATTTATTTAACCATTCCAGAGTTACGTGACATGAACAAATCTAGAGTTACGTGACATGAAAAAACACTTTGTACATACAAAAACCCATATTTTTTCTTTCATACTAGGTGAAGCTTTGTTTAGAATTCTTCAAATTTAAAGCGAGAAAAACCACGGGGCACTTCCTTGGTTGGAACAAAAATAATACAATAATACAAAACTGAGTACAAGCCTGCCGCAACCTAACCAGACATCCAATCTTCTTATCTTATCACTAGACTGCTCTGGATAAAGATATAAATTTATCACCTAAGATTTAAAAAGACAGTCCTTACATGTCAGGTAGCATTGAAGGTTGTATTTTACAAGATTCTAAGTACTGCAATACATGTACACTGTGAAATTATGGATAAATCAATAAGGTAATATTCACAATGAAATAATCAAGTTAGACGCTAGAAGGTTTAAACAAATTCATAAACTGCCTTATTTTACTCAGTAAAACTTAACATTTGTCAAAACTGTAATGTAACGTAACTGTAACGTAAACACACCATCTCAATGTTTGTGCCTTGTTTTGTGTTTCAAAGGTCTTTAATGTTTTGTAAGCTAGAGAAATATGTTAATGAAATAATTAATTTATGGTGAAAAATTATTTGCTATCATTTTTTTAAAAGATAGCACATAGATGCTTTTGTATAAATATTCTTATTCACAGGTTTTCTACGTCATCATATAGTTATCCCTTTTTTTCACAATATAAGATACCAAATCAATCTTATACTAAATTGGATTCAAAATATGACAAATCAACGTGGAGTATTTATTGCTAGAAACCAAGAAAAATAAAAATCCAGATAATCTATTAAATTTATGACCTTAGCTGGTAGCTCGATAGTATTCAACAGTCAGTTACTGATTACAATTGAATTTTAGTCCAATAATCGTCACAAAAACAATAGTAAGCACAAGATCCAGACATTGGTTCTTGTTTTTCTGGTCCATACTCTGTTACACTACTATTTTAGTACAATATGAATATTGAAGAAGTATACTCATTATTTCTTATGTACTATTCACCTTCACCTACTGATTGGAGTATTCTTATTGATGTTATCAGGAGGCTAGCCTTAACCAATTAAACATTATATATTTTTCCATAAATCATTGAAGTCCATGTTATCAAAATAAACTTAAACCTCCTCCACAGAAGTAATAATTTGAATGACAAATTTAAAATGACAGCTACTGCCATAACTGATTCTGGTTGTGGTGTCATTCTATTTTATATCATATAATGTATTTTATAGCCAATAAAAGTCATTTTAAAGATATCACAATGTCCAATGCTATTTGTGTGTTTCCCTATTTACAGTTTATTGTACAAGTAGGTATCTCAGTCAGATTCCTATCATTTTGAAACATCTCCTTGTAGCCTAACAAGTATTGTTTATATCTCCTTATAGATTATCAAATACTTATCCTTTAAGATGTTGTAAAATAATAAAAATTTTAAATTTCCTATTGTCATTGCATTTACTAGTGCTAGGGCATACTCTGAGCCCAAATGGGTAGTCATCACCAACTTGCCTAATTCTGCCATAAACCAGGAATGCGTTTGAAGGGTGGAGCAGCTGTTCTACTATAAAACTGAGACTTAGAACCCATGTCTCAAGATGGGTGGCAGGATTTACGTTGTTAATGTTTATACACTTCAATAACCACTTAACATCAAGTGGACCATGAGCTCAGCCACCACAACAGGCAATAAAAAAATAAAAAAAAACTCATAAACAAAGATATATTCATATAAAGGATTATTAGTTAACCTTTAAATTATCTTTGCAGGGAATCCATGGTCTGACAGGTACCCAGTATAATTATACAAGTATACTGTGCACATTCTATATTTAAGAAGGTATGTAACAAACTACAACCAATTGATAGTCACTTTGCTACTATTTTTATTGCTTTAGGTGAACAACTTTAGACTCACCTGGTGTGTGGAATCGTTACATGGAACATGACAATAATTCACATTGCCTCTTCGAGGCGTGGAGTTAATGTCTCAATTTTACTATATCCCTCATTTTTATGCTTTCCCAGCCTTCAAACTCAAACATATTGATGCTGTTTCTCCTTTTAGCTTGTTTTAGACATAAACTAAAAAACTCAAGCTACAAACCTAAACCAATATTAGATTACGCAGTACAATAAATATTATCATATTGTCTGGCACTGTTGTATTTTTACCTTAAAGCTGCTAGTAACAACTAATCAGGCTATATTTAAATTTCTCTCTAGTAAGCACCATTGAGCTGTAATTACTTACCCAAAAGTCTGTGGCATCCTTATCTCGCAGCATCAGATCCTCAAAAGATATTGTACAATTTGCAACAAAGTCATCAGGAGGGATAGCCGCATCATGAAATACTGTGATCCCCAAACTGAAAGCATTTATTAATATAAGCTAATTGTTTATTCCATTTAAAAATCATAGTAGTTTATACAAATTATTCTTTAAGTATTTGTTTAACTTAATTTAATTAATTTTCAGTGCCAGTCATGATTAACATCTTTATAAAGTTTTTGGGCAGTTTCAATAAAATGCTTTTGGTTAAATATCTTTCTCAACACACACTTATAAATAAGTTTTAAAATAAATAAACAAATGATTATTTATTTTTATATGTTTTTAAATTACATTTGAAATACAAAGTCATTACTTTATTAAAATATTTTTTTAATAAAAAAACATCAACACTTATTTGTGACTAAAAAAAGTACTTTAAGAATATTAGGGCACCTGGAAACATTGTGAACGTCGTGTGAAAATGTCTCGTTCCAGACAGGATCGAATGTTTTTGCTTTGGTGCTGGAACGGTCCAGGTGGTGCTCGTCGGCATCTATCGAGACGTAAGGGTCTATCGGCTGATCGTCTGCAATAATATCCTCACATATATCTATCCATCTTAGTAAACACTAGGTACATCTTTTACATGACAAACTCTCATGTTGACTATTAATTTACAGGTCAACATTTCGCGAGTCCTTGAATCTTAAACAGTGCATTGAATATTTAAGATGTTGGATTGTCCTCACCTGGCTTTCCAAAGGCCATATTGAGCCGTTTCTGAAAGTCGGTTGGCCGAAGACCCGTCGCCTCACATACTTTAACTCGCACCGTGCCACTGAACATGGTGCTAGCGACCAACGAGACGTATCACCGAGACCGCGCCGCCACACGATCACTTCCACGCTATAAACCCACTTAAAATCATTGAAGGAGCTTCATATTTGATGCAAAAACTAAATAAAAATCTTGACAGCGGCGACGAGATCCGCCATGGATGGATGGATATTTTTCTCTATGGGCACAATGGTTCCAGTTTCGATTTCTATAAAAGTTAGGTATGATTGCCTATGGAGTTGAAAGCCCACCTAAAAAATATAACAAAAACGATATTGTTCACTAATGCCAATAGTACTNTTGAAGGAGCTTCATATTTGATGCAAAAACTAAATAAAAATCTTGACAGCGGCGACGAGATCCGCCATGGATGGATGGATATTTTTCTCTATGGGCACAATGGTTCCAGTTTCGATTTCTATAAAAGTTAGGTATGATTGCCTATGGAGTTGAAAGCCCACCTAAAAAATATAACAAAAACGATATTGTTCACTAATGCCAATAGTACTGTTCATAATTGAATACAAAAGTTTTGTTCTCATAGCATACAGATAATATGTGAATAACACAAGTTATTTCATTTTTCGACAAATCTGCAGAAATGTAAACAAACAAAAATTGAAACTCATTGCTGGACCACACCTAAAATTGAAAAGCGACCTCGTCCTAGTTTACCCTGAGTTTGACAGTTGACGTTTGCCAACAAAATTTGACACTAACAGTTGCGGTCCTAAAACCGAAATAATCACCAAAAGGAATCGAAATTAGCTAATTTTGTGAATCCACTCATTATTAAATATTTTCAGAATGAAGAACTAAACTATTAGTAGTGTGATAAACGTCAATATCAAACAGTTGAATAATTATAATGGGTTTCTTGACAATTCTAAAGAAGCTGCGGCAGAAAGAGAAGGAAATGCGAATACTTATGTTGTATCCTTTCAGAATTCACATTGTTTACCTTTTTATCAAGGAAACAAAATTAACTGTTATTGTGCAAGCTTTGCAAGCTTTTTGGAACACTCTAGACGCCATAAATAGTCTACAAAGCGCGTTTTAATTTATGATAATCGTGTAACTTCATCACACTTTTTTAATCCATTTACTAACAACCTTCCTGACTTTTATATGATAGCATGGTTTTTCGGCATTTTAAAATTAATTGAATGTTATTAACACAACCTTACTGATATTTTATAACTGTTGGTGAAACCATATAAAAATACATACTAAAGATTACAAATTAAATACATTTTGTACTAATAGTATTGATTTTTATGAAACAACATCTCTGATTAAATTTGTTCAACTTGGCAGATTATCCTGCAAACTTTTTACTGTTGATTTGGCTTGGCAGACATGCATGCGCCTCACCCGATAATATGTAATCACTTTTGCTCAAAGACATTAACAATGCTACAGCTAAGCTGTTACCTACTGCTGAACACTCCTCTAATCTCATTTGAAGATGGATATGTCATAGTGCTCTAAAAAATTCACTAGGAATAAACATAGTTGTTCTGTATAGTATGGTTCAGCTCAGCTCTTATGCCAGATGATGTGATGTTATAAAGGAAAAAGGTATCATCTTGAACAATTCCTCCTTGAAACATTCAGTACAATACACAGAGAACCAAAAGCTCTCAGAAGATCTAGAAACAAAACATAACTTCCTGAACATTTATCAGAGGCCTAGACAATGCAGGGAAGACAACAATTTTGAAACGATTTAATGGTGAACCAATTGACACTATTTCTCCAACACTAGGCTTCAACATAAAAACTTTAGAACATAAGGGATTTAAGTTGAACATTTGGGATGTTGGGGGACAAAAGTCTTTGAGGTTAGTAATTTATCTTGTTGCAAAATTGAGTAGGAATGTATTGGATAAAGGAGCAATTTATTATATGAATTTATACACTAAAAACATTAGGATGTATCAAAACAATATGATAATTTTAATATGTCTCCTCCTTTAGAGACCAATTTCCTTGTATTCTTGATTCGATTTCCTTGTATTCATGACTTGTATGGCATTTTAAGATTGTCTGAGATGTAAATCTGTTATAATAGTCAGCCCATAGACTTCAGTTAGTTTTTCTAATAGCTTTTCCTGATGTTTGTAATCAATGAAATAATTTGTTAACAGTGCCAATTGCATGTATAACTGCAATCACAGACACCGTCTCTAAGATGTTATGTGATAGCTACCCGCTGGCTACAGAAAGCTGTATAACTGCTGCCACTGTGACAGCACATTATATAGAGAAAATAGGCTGAAATTTTGGGTGAAGCCAAAACATTCATAAGATACTATTGTAGGAAACTGGTTGTTGCTGTGGGTTGTTAATATGTAGTTGACAGATCATACTGGAAGAACTACTTCGAGAGTACGGATGGAGTGGCGTGGGTGGTGGACGCGGCGGACGGGGCGCGACTGTCGGCGTGCGCGGCAGAACTCCGCGCGCTACTCACGGAGGAGCGTCTGGCGGCCGCCACGCTGCTAGTGCTCGCCAACAAGTGCGACCTACCCGGAGCACTCTCCTTGCAACAAATACGAGAGGTCATTATTACACATATTCACATGCTTATGAAACAAAGTTTTTATTTACAAAAACACTTTTCAACCTATAGTAGACATCGATATATTGCCACTAGATAACGCATCACATACAAAAACCAAACACAAATATGGCATCGACAGTCAGATCAGTTGACTACACCATCAAGTGGAGAAAAACGATGTATAATATAATAATTGTAACCTAAACTATGCCTTTTCCCCAAGCAATAAAGTGCAGTTTAGATTATTTTAACATTCACTTATGACCTTACGCCATAAATGACAGAAAAATATAGTTTTTTACAATAACTTTTATTCCAAATTTAACCTTATCTTCTTAAAAATAAAGCAAAAATTTACACGCATAGCATTTTACTTACGCCCTTTTAAACTTACGATATTAAGACTTTACTGCTCCGAACAGAGTATTACGGAGTCGCACTTTATACTTTTTTTGTAAGAATATTTTGAGTAATTTATTTTTTATTATGTTTTTTTAATTCATTTTCATTCAATTTTTTCAATTTAATTCCTTATGATTAACAACAAATATTGTATAACTATAGATAATTATACCTGAGTTAGCTATATTGTACCTTGCACATTGGTGGGGAAAATGGATCAGAGCTTTTTAAATCACAACAACATAATCCCAATAAAATTGTTTTATTTATTAAATACATGTCAGATTCGGTAAAATGGTCTGCACAAACCACACTGGAGCAATTAAGTTTGAAATAATTGTCGCTTCTTTTTTCTTTTATTACTCTGTTATTAAATCTGTAAAAATGTAAAAACAAATTCCAGTTTACAGATTTCACTTCGCCGTCCGTTGTACAGACGTCTGTTGCATTCGTATCTGATCTAGCGATACACGGGGTGTTCGAATCCCAGGCGGGTACCAATTTTTCTAATGAAATACGTACTTAACAAATGTNCTCTGTTATTAAATCTGTAAAAATGTAAAAACAAATTCCAGTTTACAGATTTCACTTCGCCGTCCGTTGTACAGACGTCTGTTGCATTCGTATCTGATCTAGCGATACACGGGGTGTTCGAATCCCAGGCGGGTACCAATTTTTCTAATGAAATACGTACTTAACAAATGTTCACAATTGACTTCCACGGTGAACGAATAATATCGTGTAATAAAAATCAAACCCGCAAAATAATTTGCGTAATTACTGGTTGTAGGACCTCTTGTGAGTCCGCACGAGTAGGTACCACCACCCCACCTATTTCTGCCGTGGAGCAGTAATGCGTTTCGGTTTGAAGGGTGGGGCAGCCGTTGTAACTATACTTGAGACCTTAGAAGTTATATCTCAAGGTGGGTGGCGCAAATGCGCAAATGGCAGCGTAAATACGCTGTAGATGTCTATGGGCTCCAGTATAACCACTTAACTCCAGGTGGGCTGTGAGCTCGTCCACCCATCTAAGCAATAAAAAATGATAAAAAAATAAAAAAATATGTGACTCCACTACACTTGTTCTGAAATAGCCCTATTTCATCCTGGTCTGTGCGAAAGAAATAACTGCGAAGCAAAATAATAGGATTTAATTTTTTGAAGTACATATTAATTTGGTAAGAATAACTGATTTATTTCAAATATTTATCACTATCTGTTAATAAAAATTATAAAACTTACCAAAAATACTAAATTTCATGTTGTTTTCTCTTTATAAGCGTGTTTTTTACATCTTTTTACAGCGCATTTTAGGATCGTTCTACTCGACGGTCGGCGTGACACTGACGGCAAAACAGTGCTTAATGTTTAATATGAATCTAAGCACTGTTTTGTTTGGATACTTTTGACGCCTTTACGCGGGATCTAGTGGCAATATACATCTAGTAGATACAAATACCTTAATTTCATCCATATTTGCCCATAAAATAAAAACAATTGCTGTTGTAAAGTGTTACGAGAATTGAGAAATGATGCTCTGATCCTTTCGTTACTATTTTCCATTGCCATCACTGGTTATTCTATATGATGTCTTCTCTCATTCCTTAATGCTAAACAGTATTTCAGTCTATTCATGTTAGTTAGCAGATTTTAAGGTTGCTTTTTTATGAATAAACAGAAATTAGTTTACATAACAGAAAACATTTCGTTTTCAGGCTCTAGATCTCGACAGCATAAAATCTCATCACTGGCGCATCGTGAGGTGCTCTGCAGTCACCGGAGAGAATCTTTTAGAAGGAATCGACTGGATGTTAGACGATATTGCGTCGAGAATATTCACTCTAGACTGAATTTATTCTATTTTCTTTATAAAGCACTATATCACAAGATAAATTGTGACGTCATAGTAATAATTTAAAAAAATCATAAGAAATTTACAACTATTTAGAAATAACAGCTCATTCTAACAACACTTATTCAAAACTAAATATTACTTAGTTTTTATTTCACACATTTATTTAACATAATCCATTGAAAAAAATTACCTTTGGAAAATGCTGTACATTTAAGTAAGTTTTATATGTATCGTTAATTTTTTATGATTGAAATGTCAATCTTGTGAATTCTAAAATCCTGCATGGTAAATTTACGATATCAAAGAAGAAAATTTAAAGGATAAAATAATTTATCATTATAGTATTATAGCATTTTCATTAAAATATTAAAATAGTTTGTATTGATAGTATTCCATGTTCATTAGAAAGTGTAGTGTCCTATGTATTTTTAAAGTAAAGGTAATCCTTCTATAACACGGTAGATACATACCTACAAAATCCCGTGTTCTCATATAGATGAGATGTTATAATGTTACATGTAAAATACAGGTATAGACCTATTTTTTTTCCCTTTAATGCATAGAAAAATAGCAAAAATTTCGTTTATTCCGATATACTGTGTGTTCATAGTGCATAGTAATTTTCTAAATAATTTTAAAATCATCATTATCCTGCTGGAGAAGTACTGTGTTACTAATAAGGGATTTGGGATTTTTCCTTTAGTTTTATAGTGAAACCGTGTTTTTATAGGAAGGTTACCTGCAGTTAAAGGTCTACACACACATTTTCAAAATGTAATTAGGTTTACAAAATGCAGATTTAATAAATTTACATATTAACTGTGATGCTTTTTAAAAATAAATACATGTAATGACAAAATTCTTATTGTAATATTTTTACTGTTTATCCTTGCAGCTGGAAGCCCTTACGGAAGGCAGGTGGTGCTCCCTACCTTGCAACATAACGGTTAGGAATTTGGTAACTGGAGAGGGTAATACGGACTTGTAACGAAGTAATAGCAGTATCTCCAGGACAGTCTAGAACCTCGGATTTACATTGAACATAAAAGAAGAGTAGATAACAATTGTTCTAAATCTATATTATACATAAGGACATTACTAGTTAACAATTTTCTCCAGGCTGAACCACGTAACCTCACCTACTGCCTGTTGCTGCCAAAGCATTCATACAATCCGATTTGCAAGCTAGGGCAGCCTTTACCTATTATTCATAAACGTTTGTTAAACAAAAGAAAGATAATAATAATAATATTGAAAGGCCTAATTTAGGTTTAAAGCACAAGAACATTAAGAACTCCTAATTAAGTGTTATAAAGAACAATAAAAAACGTACCTAGTAGTTCTTTACTTGACTTTACTTATTTATTGCTTAGATGGATAGACGAGCTCACAGTCCTGGTATTAAGTGGTTACTGGAGCCCATAGACATCTACAACGTAAATGCGCCACCCACCTTGAGATATAAGTTCTAAGGTCTCAGTATAGTTACAACGGCTGCCCCACCCTTCAAACCGAAACGCATTACTGCTTCACGGCAGAAATAGGCAGGGCGGTGGTACCTACCCGTGCGGACTCACGTGAGGTCCTACCACCAGTAATTATAATTTTGCGGGTTTGATTTTTATTATACAATGTTATTCCTTTAACGTGGAAGTCAATCGTGAACATTTGTTAAGTACGTATTTCATTAGAAAAATTGGTACCCGCCGGCGGGATTCGAACACCGGTGCATCGTTAGATACGAATGCACCGGACGTTTTATCATTTAGGCCACGACGACTGCTATCAGCTATACTTACTTATTTATTAAGAAAATAATGAAAAACCATTTTAATACGAATAAACTTTTAATATTTTCTCTTGTCTATTTGTAAAATTTATCAACTTTGCAGATTTATTCCTATATTACGCCTCGACATGACCGACTAATGTTCGCTGGATATTACCCAGTGTATGTACCTTCAAAATGACTTTCCATAAGCTGCTGTACGCTTGTAAGAAAAATCTGGAAATACCGTGATAAAAGTAGACCTTTATCACAGAACTTGTGTTCTTCAAGTTCCTACTCTGTTGATAATATTACCAGTCATGTCGATGTAAAGTCTACTAAGATTGATTAATAACTTCTTCTGTTGTTTCGGTGGAAACTTCGTCGTTTTTAGGATTGTCATTCACCTCTGATGGTTTTTCAATTATTTTACCTTCATCATCTTTTATATTTCTATCTTGTGGTTCAACAATTTCTGGTGTATTTTCTTGTTTTACTGCAAAGAGGTAGTATGGTTCTTTAGTATATGTGTAGATTACACTAAATATCCCTTTTATTTTTTTCTGCCATTCCATCACCATTAAAAACAAACACTGCACTTATTTAACTTCAGGTTTGTAATTTAGATTAACATATTCGGATTATTTTTTTCAATAGGGACAGTAGCTTGATATAATAATTAAAACACATTCTTAGTTATGTTTCATAATTCACCATTATTGAATAACTAAAAATTACATCAGTTAAAAAAATTACTAATGTGTATATTTGAAAACAAACTAAGAAGTAAAAAGCTTATTTTTTCTAAACTGATTACAAAATGGCATCATTGCAGAAAGTCTGTTTGGGGAGTATGTTGTAAATGAAGAAACCAAAAGAGAAAAATAGACTTTCAGGTGGCGAAAACCCCTTTTTGCTAAGACATGCTAGGGGAAACTGTCTGATATTACACAAAAGTACTTTGAAGTGCCTGTCTTATCTCTTACTCAAATGAGTGTGGCCCCTAAAAATGTGGAAAAAATGCACATGATAGTTTGTAGCACCACCATCATGAATGTGTAATGCAAAAGAGTCAACCAGATATTCATCACTTTTCCTTGTGCACTCACTTATCTTTCCTTCCTCTCATCATACAACCTTTAAATTACTCATAAAATACATACTCGTCTCTTCTTGATTTGAATGTGTCATAGTGGTGTCTTCGTGAGTATCCTCATCCGGTCCATCAGCATCACTGTCATCTCTTTCAGTGTCAGCTGCAAACTTGTCTCTCGTCTTTTTATCTGGTTTTTCCTCCTTAACTTGCTGTCCATTCTGTTCCGGCCCTTGTTGGTGGAAACGTTTAGTGCAGCGTTGTTCTATACGAGATAATTCATCTTGAAGTTCTTCGCGTTTCTTTATAACACATTCTGCAAGTTTTAATGATTTTTATGAATTTTATATGTATTACATTGCTCAATATATGCATGTTAACATCAATAATATATCTATTGGTTGCAGTAATTACTCAAGTGTTTGCACCAACAATATATATAACAGAAAACATAATAAATTAATTATTAGTAGAATTCTACCACAAATGAAAATGATTTCAATTGCAATAGACAAGACAGTGAGACTAGCGGGCTCACAGCCCTCCGACTAAGAAACAAAGCATTGTCTATGATAAATACAATGAACTCCCCAAAGAAACTTAATATGGAATACTGACTATCATGGTACATCTGACTCAAGTCCAACTTTTCTTTCGCTTTATCATTCAACTTCTTCGGCATCCAGTATACATGCGGCTTTGCTTTAGTCAATATAAAATTCCTAAGGTTCTTCTGGGTTGTCTCCCAGATCTCAAATTCTTGTACTCGACCCATCTTTGCTTCTAATGCTTTTATTGTGGCTTTCTTCTGTTCTCTTTCTGCAAACATTACTTTTCTCTCTCTAAATTCTTTTTCCTTTTGTAATCTTGCTTGCTCTTCTATTTTCCTTTCAACTTGTGCTTTCTTATCTTCCTGAAAAATATTAATTATCATAAAATATGAAGAAACTACACAGGCAGACCAAAGTTCATTGAAAAGCTGATTTACAAACAAAGTATATTTACTGCATGAGTTTTTTCAGGCAAGGTTACTATCCTGTTGGTTTTTAGTGGGGAGTCATCAACATTGCTTGGCATCAGAAATGAGCTGGGTCATATTGATGAAAATCCATTGTGGGCTTACATTGTAGTTTGCCAAGTAGCCCATTAGATACATATTACCAGTAAACCAAATTAGATATACATTTAATTTGAGGAAAATATTTTTGAGAAAAAAAAAACAAATTTATAGAATTTTTTTTTTCTCAACAACATTCTGTACATTTATCTTTCAAAAATCCTCATTGTTCCAAGTTGAGGATCGGTAAGTTACCATGATAGGAACACAGCAAGTAATCTCAAAGTATAATGTTTAATATATTGAAACGTATGGGCCAAACCTTAGTCTGCAATTCAATTTCTTCCTGTTTAAATTTCTGTAATGTACCAAGTAAGGAACCAAAAATTCTTCTATTCCGTGTGCGTGCCTGTTCATCATCACCCTGTGCTTTAAGGATTGCTGCTCTTGTTGGTAGTTCTCTACACACTGCTGATGACACCCGAACTCTTTTGTTTGTTGGTAAGTCATCCTCACCATCACTATTGTCAGCTCTTGCTGATATTCTGATGAGATTTATATATCATAAGAGCAATTTTTACAAACCATAATAATTATATTTTTGTTTCCATGTAAAATAATTTGTACAATAGGTTGCCCATATTAATTATTGTTAATGTTTAATGTGACTTTTATTATTTTTCACGTTTTAAATACTTTAGAATTTTTGTGGTCACAGACAACAGTCAAAAGGAACAGTTTATTCATATATTTCTTGGATGGCTGGATGAGATCATGGTCCACCAGGTGTTGAGTGGATACCAAAGCCCCATAGACATCAACAATGTAAATGTCGCCCAACTTTCAACACAAGTTCTAAGTCTCAATTTTATAGTACAATAGCTGTCCCCGCCCTTCAAACTCAACAACTTCAAACAAAATGTGTTTATGATTGACTGCAGAAATAGGCAAGGTGTTATTCGGTATTTACTTGTGCAGGCTGTGAAATTACCACCAGTTATTAGGCAAATTAAAATTTTGCTGGTTCGATTTTGATTACAGGTTGTTATACCTTTAACATGGCAATAATTTGTGAATATGTGTTAAATACTACATTTCATTCAAAAATTGCTAATGGCTAGTGAGATTCAAATTTCAGGACAGTTGGATAGCTTAATACAAATATACTGGGAATTGTATTTTTAGGCCATGTTAATTTCAGTTTTAATCATGCCTACTACTCACGAAACTGAAGCAAATACTTAAATACAATTTAAAACTCATTCAGAATTAAAGAAGTTAGTGGGAAAATGAGTGTAAGCTAGATACACTGACAGATTTTTAATATGGAAATTTATGTTTTAAATTTGGTAATTGGATGTCGTTGAAGCCAGTTGTGCACAGGACAATCATGACCTTGAAAAACAAATTTCAATATTGTTTACACTTAGCATTATGACATCTAATTTAGTTTTTCCAACAGATTGATCTTGTTCAAATCCGTCAACGTAATCTATATAATTGCAACTCTTCAAGTTTTTCAGCATGTTTACCTGCTAAATACAGTTTTTGTCTCCTGTTTACGTTTTCCAAATTGCTCATCAGGTTTGAAGTTGTTACCGCTTTCTGTATAAGAATTTCTGTTTCCGATACGATTTCCACCTCTAGGATAGTCTCCTGAGTTAAATCTGCAACAATTAATAATTAGATTACAAGTTATACATCAAGAAATTTACAAAAATCTATATTTTAATGGCTAACCTATCATTCGCAAAGCGTCCTGTGGTTTGAACAATCTTTTTAATGTTTTCATCTAGTTTAAAGAGGTTACTCTTCTCGTTCTCTAGTTGTGCTCGTAAAGAACTAAAAGATATAGCTACTTCTGTCCCCATTCTATTTACAATTTACGAGAAAATACTGGTATCATCTAAAACAAAATTCTCTTTAATCGCAGTATTAGAATAGCTGAAAATTGATACAAAACGCACAGATAAAACACAAACACACAGACAACAAAAACTACACATCAAACGTCACACTGAAAACCATAGATAGTCAGTCGACTCGGAGGAAATGAAAAACGGAGGAGGATCTTTCTACTGCGCGCCACCAGAGCAAATATCTACTATATTAAAGACCATCTGAGTTACGTTTTCAGAGATAATTTGTCTCACGGACCATCCGACTCTGGAATGAATACAGCTATCACCCTCGGTGTTTCCTGAGTGCTATGTCAATATCTATTTTTAAACAATGTTTGGAGAAAGTCCTCTGCAATAGGCTACACTTTGACTAATTCGATGACCTTGCCGATGTTTATGAGCGATAGTAAGCTCGATAATCGGAAAAAATGTTTAAAGAACTACATCAAAATCAACGGTTACAATTTTAAATATTTAACGGTGTTAGGACCTCTTGTGAGTCCGCGCGGATAGGTACCACCGCCCTGCCTATTTCTGCCGTAAAGCAGTAACGCGTTTTGGTTTGAAGGGTGGGGCAGCCATTGTAAATATACTGAGATCGTACTTATATCTCAAGGTAGGTGGCGCATTTACGTTGTAGATATCTATGGGCTCCAGTAACCACTTAACACCAGGTGGGCTATGAGCTCGTCCACCCATCTAAGCAACGAAAAAAAATAAAAAAAATAACATCAGCATCTTGTAATACCACAAACCGAATCTTGGAAAATAGCCGCACTAAGGCTTACTTATCTTAGATAAAAAAGTTCTTCTCAGTCGCTTGTACTCTTGGCAGAATAGTTGTGGCCATCAGTTCCGGTAGTGGCGCGCTTCAAAATGTCTCCACTCCTCGCTTACCGCGGCCCTTCTTATGCACTCGTTGATCGAACCGTTTAGGGCTACTTTTATTTGGTCGGCCCATCATGGATCATAAGGCGCTCCACTGAGTCGTCACCCCGTCGCGGCAAAAGTCCGAAGAAAGTGAGAATGCGACCCTGAACGATGGAGGATAGACGCTGCTTGATACCGAGTTCCTGTAGGATTGACTGATTCGTTCTGAAGTCCGTCCCCTGTATTTGCAGCATTCTTCTCCAGGACCACATTTCGAGAGCATCTATCTTCTTTTTCTCAATTTCTCTCAATGTCTAGGTCTCAGCAGCGTGTAAAAGAAAAAGAGAAGCCAAGCGCTCTGACAAATCTAATTTAAGTAGCTTTGGCGATATTTAGATTCCCTCAAATTTTCTTCAGCCTCAGCCCATGGCTGACATCGAAATGCCCATACGTCACTTGACTTCATCAACGCACCCGCCACTCTTTGAAATCAGTATGGCCAAGTAAGTGTACGATGATAACATTTATCTTATGTATTTGGTTCGATATATCCACTGATGAGACTAGCGCATACCATAAAATGATGCAAAAATAGTATCTATAAATCTGAATTATAAATAAATAAAAGTCCTGTGTGGCGACATTGTACTCCAAGACGCGTGTTGAGACTTGTAAATGGGACGTTCAACATTGGTTCACCTTGGTTGTCACCTGGGTGGTTGGTCCACCTTATTTTGAGCGGATTTTGATATTATTACTTATTAGTGTCTTCCGAATTGAATTTTGCTATTAAAACATGATATTTCTTAGCGCCGCGAGAAAACCGTATTTATTGGGTAATTCGTGGTGTTATCATGACAGCTCGTCCCTAAAATTCCTAGTTAAGTGACAAGCCATAGTCATTGCTCGTGTTCATCAGCAGTGCTTAGGTTATGTTATTTAGCAAATTCGCGACCGTCAATAAGCCCTATTGATTCTACACTCACCAAATTCATAGTACCTAGTTTGTTGAAAAAATATCCCTAAATAAAATAAATTTAAAAAGTCATAATTTATGGTGTCACCAAAAAACTCGAATGCATTAAATATAGGTACTGACTAAACGCGTAAAACAAGCTAAGTAGGTATGTATATTACTTAGGTGAAGACATTGCAGGCGGGGATAAGCAAGGATGTTCAATATTTTAGAATACATTGACCGATTATCATTGTTATATTCGCGGACGGCATATTGAAATAACATGCTCGTGCATTACTGATCAGCAATGCCACTGGGCTACTTACCTTCAGATTTTTTTTAAAAACTTAAGATGATTCCGTCAGACGAGTTAGTCTATAGATTGTGCTGAAGAATTGAACCAACATATGGTCGAACAACATACTCTGCTTTGGCTTGTCAATTTTATCACCCATCAATGTCACTATGACCTTGTATTTCATTGTAGTCATTTTGTGGATTCCCAGCCGAGCGTTCAGGCGTGCTATCAAAAATTTACCGACCATCGTCAAACTTTTACAGACGAAATTGGAAATTTAGTACAGAAAATTTATGTTAAGACTTGCTTTCAATATAATGTCTGTATATAATAGCAAATGACTAGATTACTGAAGCTTTTCGAACTGCATTCAAGATATTTGAAAAGCCCTGTCTAGAATTAGAATTAGCCGACCATCACAAAATACATTTGCATTTGAGATACTTATCGTGTCTTAATACGACATGACGGAATAAATTCGGATCTGACTTCAATGATGTATTGCGACAATTTAAGTTATGCTTAAAACACTTGTGATTAAGAACCCGCTCATATTAGACGGACACATTACTGCAAAACTCACAATTGCCTCACCCACCTCCGTAGATACCTACTTCTCGTTACGAACATAACTACACTAGAAGGTGGCGGATGCCCTGCAGGAGATCGACGGTTGTAGACTAGGCTTAGACAGGTACATTTCCAGGTTTTCTGACATATATACCTAACATGAAGTATATTTACAAGAACTCACAGTCGACCGCATCTGAGCGGTTTGTTTGTTTGTCTGAGTATTTTGATACGTTTTTATATTTGGTATGGACGACTCTGTGTGTGGCACCACTATCACTAAGTGCTCAATCTTCATCCAGCGCCATCTTGATAAACATCCAAAATATCGATGTTCCGTCACATAGTTGAATATTTTCTATAAACTATCAATAAGGAGTACCCACTCGAAGTACGTATCTTACCCACCCCATTGCTGATTACTGAGTGAAAATTATCATAGCAATTAAGCTCGTTACAGTATCGAAGGTAAGTTTTGTGTCGTGATAGGTCACGGTCGTTACCGATGTATTGACATTACACGGAGTACAAATGTGAACGTAAGACATAACGAAAGGCAAACGGAACTTACACTGGAACCTAACTGTGATATCATAAAAAAAATTTTTTTTAAATATACTGCACACCCACGCGTATGTGTAGATACAATATCATCAAGTCACCGTACGTAGGTACATACTAAAGGCACTTGGACTACGCAGAAACAAAATGAAATGGCGAACTCTCAGATGGTGAACGTTCTGTGTCGTGAAAGGCTACTAATAGATTCCATCGCAAATGCACAGCGATCTCTGAGTACTATACCAGTTTAATGTCATCACCAACCTGCATTTACTGGTAAGAGGCATTTTAAGTCCGCATCCGGCTAGGTTCGACTCTATTTCTGCCGCATTCGGTTCTGCGATTCTGAACAGTCGCTATGTAATTTGAAACTTCGACCCCGACTCAGGGTGGGTGCTGGGATTCACATCGAGATCCGGCAAATACCAGATGAGCTATCAGTGAATATGGCTAGTTAACGTAAGAAAAAAAGTATCTAAGCCAGCACTTTTTTGTTTGTTTAAATTAGCATAGGCCATTGTTTCAACTAAATTTTCATGAAAAGCTAAAATTCTAATTGACAGCATGACAAGAGAACAAGTATTAAAGCAATTTCCACAAATGTCTTTAAAATCAACGCCAATTTATTTTAAATGCTACAAATAATGAATGAGTATGTACGTCAGTCAGTTCTTGATCAAAGTACAACAAAACGAAATGCGCCACACCACAGCCATTTGCAAGCGTTTCGCGCCAAAACGACTAACACGCCATTTTGTTTGTCTGTTTTCGATTTACGCTAACTGAGTTGGATTGGAACTTAGTAGTCATTTACTTGTTCAGACGCATTAATTTTAAACTTCAATTTAATGCCACTGTTACTACCATATTCTACTAAAGTAAGTTAATTCCTATTAGTAATCAGCTCTAATCTAGATGACAAAATTCGACCAATTTCTGAAACAATCTTATGCCCTGTTGTTGTACCAATCACTCAATCACGATGCACTTAATATTAAGTATGCCGTGCGCCCTTATTTTTTTTATAATTCCTTTATATAATATGATTAAAATAACCGGGAACAAGTCACACATGCTCATCTACCCCAAGCTAGAATACCCTGTACTGTGGGAATCATTGACTGATACCTATATGTAGGTAGGTACTATGTGTGTATTGTGTACGTTGAAAAACATTATTGTTAAAGGCTGGGGCTCGGGATAACTAAAACATTAACCAATATACAAATTAAAACTCAATTTCATCATTACCACACTTTGGTAGATTTGGTAGGTTGCAATATCACAATTCACTTGTTTCGCTTCGCTAGAGGTGATCCGTTCGCTGTTTCACTTCGAGTAGAATTGATTACTGTCTTCATTTTTTTACCTACGTCACGACATGTCCACAATTTTCGAAAATACATATTTCCAATAATACTAGTTGTTTCGATATCCGTTTTTGCTATTTGACAATAGATGGTGTTACATTTCCCATAGTATATTGTATTAGTTGTTTTGAAAACTATTTGTGCTGTTTGATGACAGGTGGCGCTACTCGTACCGACATAATAATACTTATATAGACATTAAACACTAACAAAATTCAAGCTTTCTCCTTGTTCATTACACGTATGTTGGTATGATGGTCGAATTGAACCCACGATACTTAACCCACAGTCAAGGGCGTTAACTACTGTACGACCGAGTCAGCTATGATTTAGTGAATAAATTGATTAATTGATTTTAATACATAAATGCAATGCGTTAAAAATATAATAATTTGAAAAGTAACAAAAGGAATTAGCGCCAATACCCAATTCTCACAA